GTGAGATATTAGACAACAGTTCAACAAGAAAGTGAGGCCCTTCTTTAGCCTTTCAAGTGCTGCTCTTGGCAGGATCGTGATTCATTTTTTTGTGTAGGATCTCTAAGGATGAGAAGGATGCTGGAGAACCATGATATGCCCATGGGCCTGCCTTTTCCTTTGCTTAGGAGACATTCCACTCCCATGAAGACAGGTTACACAGCATGAAGGTCAGAGCCTCAGAGACAGCAGGTTGGATAGTCAGAGAAAATATGTTCTGACAGAGGTAGGACCCATGGTTACCACCAAGAGTTGAATCTGACTGATAGATACTCTTTCAATTATGAGAAAGACAATGATCACATGCACACTCTTGATCAAATAAGGTCTCCTGCTGACACTTGAAAGGAATCTTCTTATATGGAAGGTAACACCAACAGCTAAGATGCCACGATAGGAGGGAAGACCAGGAAATATGTTTTCTCTTCTCTTTTCCTTCCTCCTTTCCTCCCTTCCTCTCCTTCTCTTCCTATCTCCTTCTCTTCTAAGCAATAGAAGCCCATCTTTGAATTGCTAGACAACTAGCATAGACTCAATTGCTGATACATACATAGCTTTCAAGAAAATATTATTTCTGTCTCTATTCAAAGACCAGACCACCAAACTGGTGGGCTTTTCCCCACTTTCCCTCTCCTGTCATTTCAGAATGAGGAAAAACAACGACGACATAAAACAGTCAGATAAGCTGTGAGCGTCAGAAACCGCTAACATTGCTTGTGCTCCCGGTATTCATTTATTCCTTCCTCCTCTTCCCTTCCCTCCCTCCCTCTCTCCCTCCCACCTTCCTTCCTTCTCTCATTTGTTCTTTCCTCCCTCCCTTGCTTCCTTTTCTTTCTTCCCTTCCTCTGACTTTCACATTAGAGCACTTGTAGTGACTTCTTTCCCAGGCTGTAAGCTCTGTAAGGTCAGGGGTTCTGGCTGATTCACTCATTACTGTATTCCCAGCACCTAGTCCTATGCCTAAATGTTTGTTGAGTGATTGAATTAATAGGATTTACTACCCATAAGATAAAGATAAAAGATTTGTAAACACAGAACCAGTTAACATAAATAGTATAAACATTACTTTATAGATCTTTTTTTAATCTGCAAAGGTTTGATTAGAGGAGAATTTCCTAAAATGTGTTAAAAATATTAGCTCTGAAGAATAAAAATAGACTTTTTGACACAATAGGTTGGGGGAACCTATGGAAAATGGTTTGGGGTACTCTACATTATACAGGGTTCAAAGAGATCGTTACTATTTCCCAGTTTCTCAAGTACAGATTTTCATTGTGAAGTTCTTAGAAACAGACATAAATTATTTGACCGTGTTATCTTTTTACCTGGCATAGCTTACGGGATGGCATTCCATAAAACATGTTTTGAACAACTAGCATCTTAATTTAGTTTTTCAAAAATATTTTCTTTCTTTTGGATTTAAGTGCTAATTATTTTTTCTACTGCAAAAATTACCACTAAGTTAATACTACTGAACTGTGTAGTTAAAAATGGTGAAAGTGGTAAATTTCATTTTATTTTTATTTTACCACAGTTAGAAATACTATTTAAAAACCTCCAAAATATTACTTTACTGAGAAGTAACAGGAATCAATCTTTTCCCTAACGACTACGACAATCCAACCAGAATTAATGATATTGCCCAATAAAGGGCTTGCGTTTGGTCTATAATGTTAAAAAATTCCATTTACCACCCAGATGCTATATCTTCAGGAAACATCCTGATTTTGAACATATGGCTGTGACTCTCTTGGTGTGAGCTTTTAGTGACATAGCTTAGGATGCCTGCACATACAGACCTATGACTGCATTTGGTTAGGACAGTAAGCCTGGAACCCGGAGACAACAGGGTGACAAAATTGACATTGTCACTCTCTCAGTGTACAACCGTGGGCAAACCCCGTTTTCCTTTTCTAGAAGAGCCTCAGTCAGTAATTTTTCACCTCTTCCCTCCAGCATGGGATTTTCACGAGTAAATCCTAATGGAACTCTAATACACACAGCAGATAATAGCAGAGGTACTCTGGTCTCCAGGGGGCAGGCGGCTGCTTGGCTCTTTCCAAGTCTTACACCTGCTTCTAGGAGTTAAGACTAAAATAGAGAAGAATGTTTGTGTTCGTTATAAAGCTTGTGACCCACACAGTATTCAGCTGTTAAAGAATACAGAGCACTGCTACACTACATGTGGTGAGCACCTTTTGAATTTCAACACATATTTTAGATTAAAAAATAAGAAAAATATCACCAGAATGTACCCTTCCCCCAGCCACTTTGTGTATACATTCTAACATGAAAGCTTGACGGCAAGTTAAAATTGAATGCAAATATTATTCCTGAAAAGTTGCCCATTTATATGGTTTTCTTAGGCTCTCTTAGTTTATAATGGGAAGGTTTTGCTAATAACAAAAAGTGTTAATTACATAAATATGCGTGTTCTTTTTAAAGCCTTACACTATATTATGAATAATACACAATAGAAATAAATAGAAAACTGCTTCAACAGAAATATTGCTCCTTGAACAGCTTTTAACATTAGGACATGTTTACTGGGAAAATGCACTACTTGTGACAGGGTTACCAAAGCAATATTAACCTTCTTGAAATTTAATACCAAAGTCAGCTGTAAAAATCAGTACCAGACATGGTAATGTAACTACTTTGTCAAGATTATATATAGAATAAAGCAGTATTTAAAGCTACATTAAGGTATGGATAAATAAAGAATCCTTTGGAAGATTTTCAACACACATGCATCACAGCTAAAACCGTGATACAGATTGTCCTAAAGACAGCATTCTTGGAGATTAAAACCTCGTGCTTTCTGTTTATTTATTTTTTTTCTTTTGGCCACTGCTGCTTTTGCAATTTTGTGCAGGCCATCAAACATTAAACTTGTCCTTAAAGCAAATTAAAAAAAAAAAAAAAGACAGACAGGCGTTTGTTATATTGACAAGTTACCAAACACTTTCACTATATCTGATAAGACTAATGAGTCATTGTAATCTATAATCAAAAAGAATGTTTGCTTCTGCAAAAAATAATAATTTACCCCAAACTAGCTTTTATAATAAGCAAAGAACTCAAAGTAGTGGTTTAAAATGTATGATGAAATACACACTATAAAATTGCAGTTACCATCAAATGCGAGTTAGATTTACAAAATAATTTTTCAACAAATTAATTTTGTTGCTATTGTTTTATTGTAAGACCCATTACTTGCCTAGTCTTGTAGTGTTGATGTTTAAAAGGAATTCATGTTTTAAAATAATCCTAAAATATTTCAATAAAATCTCTTAGGGAGTTTTTCTTATTTTAGAAAATGTTAGCTTGAGGCTTCCTTAAAAAATAAAGGTCAAAAGTCAGAAAGGATAATAGCTGATGGTTTTGATAATGCTAATTATATATTACTGAGAATAAAGGTAGAAAGGGAAATATGAATACTAAAGAAAGATAAACATCCCAATGCTGGATTTTAAAAAAAGAATGAAAAACCCTTAAAATGTCTTTGTACGTCACTGTCATAATGCAAAGACATAATGAAGCCTGAATTAAAAATGTCAGTTTCTGTGAGTGTTGATAACTTGGTTCTTTGTTGGGCAAGTCAAAATGTGTCTGTTTGATAGGCAAAAATGACTGACTAAAAATGGGAGAAGTTGAATCTAAAAAAAGAAACACACACACACACACACACACACACACACACACACACACACACACGACTTTTAAAAAAGGCCCATAATGTACTTGAAGGAGAAGACCTGTAGGGTAGGAGGCAATATCTTTAGGAAGTCATCAAGCAGCACTAAAAGGCAATGTCCATGGCCAATCAAAACAGTTTCTCTGACTGCTGGGGTTCTTGCATCTCTGTCTTTACACTAGACTGGAAACCCTTTGTACTAATTACCAGACTGTACCAGATTTTCTGGTTCAGTTCAATCTTATAATTGACTGACAGTGATGGGCAAGGAGGGGGAAAAATTCAGGCTCACCACTGCAAGCAGAGGGTCAGAAATGGTTTCACAGAGAGCTAGTCACAGCCTGGCACTGAAAGCAGGGTTAAGCAAGCATCATCAGCAAGTTCTTGTAATTCCCAGGTTAGAAAGGAAGTTAGGAGGAAAACACAACAACCCGTGGCCGCTCTCCTCCTACACATCAATCCTTAGCATGCAACCATTGTACATAAAATAAGTGAGGAATAGCCCTAAGCGTAAATTGTAATTTTAAGTGTCACAAAATTTCAGATGATTTTTGTTTTGCTATTGGGAGGTAGATAACGGTTTGCCTCCCAAACTCAAATATGGTCGTCTTTCTCAAGTAGGCTTTTGTATTTACAGTAAGGAAGAAAAACAGTGCTGCTATTTCATTCCTAGGGCTCAAAATAATGAAAGTGAAGGCATATTTAGCCTATGATATGTTACATAATCAAAGTCAAGCATTTGAAAGCACTTAACATCAACATTCTCACATCCTTTGCTGTTTGTAATTCACTGATTTGGATTTACTGTTTATCCATGGTTAGTAAAATTGTTACCCAGGAATCCATCCTTTTTAAAATAAAAGATTGAATAATAATTTACAAGAACTTAGAGTCAACACACTAAGAAAATAGAACACCTTGAGCACTGTATTAAGGACTCATTCGGCCGACGACCTTTGTTATTTACTTAGAACTGTTCTTTACCCACTTTATTTCTAACCAAAAGAGCAACCATAGCTTTAGCTACAACAAACATTAAAAACGCAGATGTCAGAATCAGGGTCAAAATGAGAACTCAGGCCATTCGGTAGGCAAGTGAGAGTTATGTACTATCATGTTGAGGTCAATTGACTTGAAATTTAATCACAGTTTAAGCCCCTTTTCTTTCCAGGCTAAAGAGTAAGCAACACCTGTGCCAGCAGCAGCTCACATTGCAGTTGACATAGCAGCCAGTTCAATTTTTAGTTACAAGTCAATTACTTACTGGAATAGAAAGAGAACATTTCATTCATTCCATGGATGGCCACTTTTCCGAAGAAACCTGCCAGGCTTTCTTTCTCCAAAAGAAGAAAAGAGAAAAAAAGTGAAAGTTAAAAATAAGTGATGTACTGCAAAGTTTTAGAGCTAGGCCAGTACACTACAGCAGAGAAGTTGTGCAAATAGCTTACCTTCCAAGTACTGAACAGAGCTGTCCTGTAAGTGAGGCCTATCCCAGCTGGTAAGTCCTGGGACTTTCCTTATCAGAATTAGGTAAAATTGTAAGAGGTGATCTACACCTGAGAAGAGGGACCCGCTGACCGTGTTAAAGGAAAGAGCAAATGAGTAAAATGTCTTCCCCCAGCTACAGTCAGCCCTGGTGCAAGGGGAGTTTCAAATGCACTGGCTATAGACTTTTGTCCAAAGCTGTGGTTCTTTTTTTTTTTTCCTTTCTTTTTTTT